AAAAAAAAAAAAAAAAAAAAAAAAGCTTCTGTGTTAGCACAAGTGATGCAAATGTGTATTGGAAAGTACATCTTCCCTGAACTGGCTGGCAGTATTTTTTGCAGGGCTAGAACTGGATTAGGGTGCAAGAGATCATAGTGCAGATTGCAAATTGAGGTGTAGACCTGTTGGGAAAGTAAGATTCCCTTGAAATAAAATGCTTTCTGTCCTATTTATTACATCATCATTTTGGTCTGTTCTAAGCATTTGGTTCCTGTAGGCACCAATGTTCCCATCTGGAGGCCTTAGATATATTGTCCTTTCATTGCCATGTTACACCAAGGTGCAGACTGATCATTGAAAGGTATAATATGAAGGGTTTTTTTAAAAAAATTTTTTTGGCAGTCCTTGGCTTGTGACTTGGACAAAGCATAAAAAAATGTTGAGGTCCTTCAGGGTTGAATGGGCATGTGTATGAGTATGTAGCCTAGCCTGCCTACCTCTGTTAAGAAATTTATATCTTATAAAGAGCAGATAATTTTCACAGAGACTCCTTACATTTGGGGTGGGGATATCTATGAATACTTCTCACCATTCCTGACTGGTTTAAGCAACAGTTTAATGGTGTCTGTCTGAGAGCCAGTTACATAATCTTGATATACCAGACTTCGTAAAATTCCTGTCGTAGGAGTCAGTGACTGTGGGCCAAGTTTCTTCTGGAATGGCCTGAGCCAACTGCTGTTGAATACGTATCTGCTGGCCTCCTTTTACCTCCAGGCCCACAACTTTGGAAGGATTCCAATTCCATTCATGTTTAGCTCTAGTCCAGTACATTAATCACCACTGAAGCAAGAAAGGCCACCAGCCTGTTTACTGATGTCACAATCATATAGTCATGGCTCTTGGAGGAATGCATTTGAGAGTTGGAGCAATGGAGTTTATTTGGATAATTATTCTACCCATGTTGCTGTAGCTAATTTATAAATTAAAAAGAAACATACTCTTAGGATAAAACAGTAAAGAGATTAAGCTTTCTGTAATGTATCTTTCTCAATCCATGTAATAACTGGGTTCTTAAGTTATACATGGAATTAAATATTTTTAATATAGGAGCATATTTAATCATTACGGATTATTCCTTATTTTCCAGTATTAGTTTGCTATTGCAGTTAGGGATTTTCTCTCACAGGATTGTGTCTAAGAATTTTTATATCAAATATTTAAATGATATAGTATGGCTTTCTAGAAGATGCACAGTACAAAAAGACATTTCTTTTGTACAGGCAAGTGTTTTGCTTCTATATCTTAACTGCTTCAGGAGCCTAAATTACTTTGGTTTTAAACCAGAAATGCAGCATTGCAGGCTTAGGGTTATCTGGAGTTTGGACCAGATTTTTCTGAATCTTTTATGAGTACATCCTTTGGGCCCAAACAGCTTTGCCTAGTATGTTTCTTCCACAGGTTCCACAGACCTCTACAGGTTTCTTCCACCTGCCAAATATCAGGCAGAAGTCAGCAGAGTACTACACTTCCAAATGATGATTTCTAAAATCCAGCTCTCCAATCTTTTAGTGTACATTTAAGGGGTTAGGAGGACCACTAAATATTACCTAAGTGCTGTTAGAAAAGGAAAAAATTATTTGCTAGAATATTAATGTGCAGATTGCTTTTCATTCATTTGCATGATCTCTCTTTAAGAAACATTTCTGAAGTAGGCTACTATGTTCCAGTTTTGCAGATAAGACACCTAAGCTTGCAGATTCTACTCTCGGCTTACTTTGGGCACTTTAACAAGTTTATTGTTGGATATATTTTAATGAGTTGTTTGTGTAGCTATGGATTTTTGTCAACTGTTAAGACTTTCCTAATAAACTAAGAATTGCATAAAATTTAAATGGGAACCTGTCACCTGGACATCTAATAAACTGCTTTAAGGTTTTTAATGCATTTGTTATTCCATATCGTTAAAATGTAAATGTAGTTATTTAGGTTTTGAGGCAAATGACATTCTGGCCATGTATTTTATATTTCTGTTCTTCTTGCACTGACTTTGACAGAGGTGGTCCTTGCTTAACATGCAGTCGTTCAGCAACCATTCAGACTTGTGACAGTGCTGAGTGAGTGGTACTTATAAATGGTTCTGTGGAGTTCTGGCCTTCACAGCATCCCTGCAATCACATGATCTTTCCTGGCCTTCAGTGCCTGGCTCACAATTATGATGTTGCAGCATCCTGCAGTCACATGGTTGCCATTTGTGAACTTCTTTGCAGGCTTTTGACAAGCAAAGTCAATGCGGAAGCAGGCAGAAGGTCACAAATGGTGACTATGTGATGTCCTTGCTTAATGACCTGTGGTGATTCACTTAACGACTGCAACCAGGAATGGTGGAATTGCCATCACTAAGCGGCACAGTCATGTGATGTCACACTTTACAACTGTGTTGCTTAACAATTGCCATTGTTAACTAAGGACTATCTATATTTCCATGGGGATCATGGCCCAAGTCATGGCAGACTGTGATACATAGTCAACCTCAGGAACTGTTACTCATTTTGTGCTTCCTAAACAGCAAATATTGGTTGCAACAGTTGCCAATCTTGTCATGTTTTCATGTCCATTAATACTGCAACTAACCGGGTCTACTGGTATGATTGCATTGCACTATACATTTTTGATTTACAAATTCTTACTTTAAATGTTCTTATTACAATCCAAGATTTCTTTCAGATTTCTTGGTTCTTCAACTATATTTATTTTGTTTTACAAATGTCTATATTTAGTTGGAACATCAGTTACAATGCCAGAACTCTGAGCAGCTAGAATTGCGAGTACAAAATGAGAGATTACGAATACTGAGTGAAAATCTCCTGGATCAGCTGGAGAGGACCAAATGGGAACTGGAAGTAACTCGAAGTCGCTTGCAAGAATTGCAGAAAGAAGCCCAGGTAGAGCAGGAACAGAAGGACAGGTATGACCAGGGAGCAGGGCAGGATATAGAACAGCATCAGCTAGTTAGAATGTAAATATTGGAAAAGCAATGCTATTGTATGTGGCTGCTGCAAATTGATAAGCTCTGTAAGGATGAACATCTTCTGGTATTTTGTTTTCTTTACTCTATTGCAATCTTTACAAATCTCAAGGACACAGAAGACATAGTGCCTTTCTTTTCCTTGAGATGAACTAATGATGGAAGTTTTTTTCCATTTACGTTTTTCTAGAAGCTTATGAAGGGATTAGCTTGGTGCCAAACATTCCAGCATTTAAATATAAAGTCTTCTATTGTCAAAACTCACAGGGCATAACAGTTCTGGAACAAAACAAATATTAACAAATATCTCCACAGAAATCAATTACTTTAATGTTTAGAAAAATATGATGTCATCTGAAAATCATTGCTGCCAGTCAGGTAAGCGGTTACATTACCAAGCAGTAAATAATTTATTTGTTAGTACTTAATTAACCAAAACATGCTTTCCATGGTAAACAGGGATAAGAGATCGGCTTTGTTGTCTGTGCAACAATTTCTTGCAGCTTTCCCTGATGTGGTCTGCTTCAAACATGTTGAGCATTAAATCCCAAATGCCTGTGCTCAGGGATGACAGGAGTTGAAATCCAACTTATTTGGAGGGTCAAAGTTGGTGATTGTTGAGAAACAATCACCACCCAGTATCCGTAGATATGAAATTCTAGATGAGATGGCTGTTTCAAAAATAAGTATACTTAAAAGCTGCTTTGGGTGTGCTCTGTGAAAGATAATATCACTTAGCTTGTATCCTTAGGGCCAAACTATACCTTGCGCATCTATGCAGCCATCAGTATGGAAGAAGTAGATGTAAGAAGGATGTATATATTTTGGCCTTTGCTGCATTTTGAGATAAGGCAGCTAGGTAAAATAACTCTGTCTTATCAATCTGTCATAACAATAGGCCATTAACAGATACAATAGTCTAGGCTCATGTCATGTACTAAGCCACTGTTTGTTTTAATCATGTTCAGTAAGCCAAAATGGTAGGTTTATACATTGTATTAAATCATAAACTACAGCTTACAAATGACTGTGGCTTGATTCAAAAATAGAATTAAGTCAAAAACACACAAGCCACATTATGCCATTTGTGCAACATGTGAACTGAAGTTGGCGGTCCCAGTTAGAACTAATTTACTTAGACCATTCTGCATACACAGTTATTGGCAGAAGGTTTAGGACCAGTACCTAATAGGCAATATTAATGTTTGCAAAAGAATAAAATATGAGTTTACAATATCTGAATCCCTCTTTTCCTTGCTTCTACCCCAGAGATATATTTCAAGCCTCTAAGAATATGCAGAAAGAAAAACAAAGCCTCTTGCGTCAATTGGAGCTCCTCAGGTAAGAAAAGCATCTCCAAGACTCCCCGGTCTGTGACTTGGAAATTAATTGAATAAAGCAGCTACAGAAGGCGGACCTCTTTAGGGAGCCTCTAATGTGTTACATGATGGCAGAAGATTAAATGAAAGGTGAAAAAGGGGGAAGGGAAATGGACTTTTGCAGTTGGGGGCTTCTGACTGAATTACAGGGGTGAAGAAATGGAAATGCTCTCTTCCTCTGCCTGGGGCCAATTCTGCCAGCATGCTTGTGATGCCCCAGTCTTCATCCTTGGAGATGCAATTCCATGGGAAAGGAATAATACAGTCCTAACATGTAGTTAAGGAGAAAACAGTTCTTTGAGTTTTGAGAGGCCTACAGCAAAATCAGCTGTTAGAGTCACTGACCTCATTTACAGATAACAATTACTCAAGATTTATTTTGATCATGGTGTATAGAGGAAACAAAAAGCTATCATGCAGACAAACAAAATCATCTTGACTTGTGTGACTACTGTTCTTTTCCTCCATTTCTTTTGCAATATCTCTGTCTTATCAATCTGTCATAACAATAGGCCATTAACAGATACAATAGTCTAGGCTCATGTCATGTACTAAGCTACTGTTTGTTTTAATCATGTTCAGTAAGCCAAAATGGTAGGTTTATACATTGTATTAAATCATAAACTACAGCTATTAAAATGAGCTATTTTGTGTTCAGAATAACACAATGAATTATGTTGTTGATAATTTAATTAGTATAATTAAATATTTGACAGAGAATTAACTATAGTCAAATATTTGTTGGCTCATTGCCAAAATGTGAAGTTTGAACTCAGAATCTTCTTGACTAGTTGAAATTGGGTTGATCCCATATGATGGCTACCTTACACAAGCACATGCTCTCCAGAATAGTCCATTAAATGCAATCCAGGTGCCAAAGAAATGTTTGAACTAGTTTCTGTGGCTGTACAAAGAATAGTCTCTTACCTTACTTGTCCTCTCTGTCTGCTAAGGCTGTATTCATACAACAAACTGATCCACAAGTTAGCTTGCTATTAAAGCCCAGTGTGGTTAGTTTATAGCTTATACTTCAGTGCATTATGCAAATTCAGAGCATTTGATTAATCACATAAATCACTAAGTAAATCATAGGTAAGCAGGTAATGCAAACACATCTTAAGAGTTGCTAATGACTGTCACTGGGGATGAAATCTTCTACAATCTGGCACCTTCAAAATGTGACCAGAAATTATGGGAGCTGTAGTACATCATATCAGTAGGGAAGTTAGGTCATTTTCACACTAGTGACTTGAGAGCTGCAATCATCACTTTGCCAAAATAACAGTAATCTGAATAGGCTTTATATGACTTCAACAATGGCTGGGTGATGCTATGAATATGTTATAAGTCACTAGCATGGAAATTACCTGTCTGGATATAGGGAAAGGACAAATGGGAATACTGTAGCCATAACACTTGCATTTGTCTTACTTTCCTCTGGAGCAGGGAGATGAACAAAAAGCTGCGAGATGAGAGAGACACCGTTGAAGCTAAGAAGATGGCCGGTCTGAAAAAGAAAAAATTAATCCCCAGCCACCTCTCCTTTGCCTGCTGTTGTTGCTGCCATCACCTGGGGACATTTCATTTACCTGGGGGACACTAACAGGAACACTGGGTTTAACTGTTCCTTGGTAAGGGCGTTTCTTTCATGAGTCTAAATGGAGCAAGGACTGCATTTTTGCAAACCCGGGTCATTGCAAAAGATCAGCATAGCTTGCCTATTCCTGACTTTACAAGAAAGACTCTCTAAACAGACATTTGTTGGACTGGAAAGCACAGAGAATCTTTTGCACTTTTTGTACTAAAGGTAAAATGCAGAGGATGCATTAGCTGAATCTATGTAAAACTGAATCTTCCTCATGGAGTTAAAAAAATACACAGTGGTTTTCTCTCTTCCTCTGTTGTCACTGTTCCTGACACCTCGGGAACTTGTACCTGCAAGCCCTGTGCCTTGCTCCAGTCCATAGCTAACAACGCTGTGTGCTAGCTTTTTTGCCATATTTATTCATGACCATACCTTTCAAGGTTTTTGTAGTTGTGTAGCTCTATTAAAGACTTAAAGGGTGCATGCATATCCCTTTCTGCATCTTACCTAGGTCTGTTCCTGCAATGGGACTTTTCTCTTCCCCCCCCATTTTTCTATGTATGCATGTGTGTACATTTCCATACAGACATGCACACTTGTATACAGTGCATTTGGAAATTATTCAGACCCCCTTCACTTTTTTCAATTTTGTTA